CTTGAGCTGCTGTTGCTGTTTGAAGAAATGCACCAAAAACAACCAATCAGTCAGGAGGCGGGGCTTAGCGCTGTCAATCAAACTCATGCAGCTAAATGTCATAATGACAGAGAAACAACTACAGAGAAACTGTCTATCCGCTGTCATTGGTGGCCATGCTAACTAGACTTAGCATTCAAGACTGGATGATTGACAGCGCTAAGACCCGCCTCCTGGCTCTGATTGGTTGATTGTAGTTAAAACCTTTTTTGTTTTTCACAGTTTGACTCAGAACATAGTTACAGTTTCAACAAATGTCTAAAAATATATATTTTCTATAAAAGTTAAAGACTTCAGATGTTTTCCAGATTCATTCTCCTTCCTTCAAATGTAAAAAAAACAAAGTTTCCCAAACGTTTGCTGAAAACCATCAGGAACTAATCAGCTCTAATTGTTTCTGCATGTTCATCTACAAAGGACGGCGGGTTTTAAAATTCAACTTTACTGGTGCGACCCCCATCATTAGGAGGAGAGACTGGTCGTGTTTGTAGGTCGAGAGAAAATCCAACATGGAGGCGAGGTTCTGGCATCTGAAAGGAGCCGAGACAAAGCTGGTCTGTTCAGACGGGGAGAGACGGGGAGGCGTGGGTGAAAGTTTGAGGAGGAGGAGGGGAAAGTGGGAGGAAAGGAGAAAAGGGAAGAAGAGGAGGAGTGAGGAAGGATGGGGGAGCAGCAGGAAATGTTTGTGTGGTTTAAATCCGAACCAGAGTCTCTTCTGAAAGCAGTCAGCGAGTCCAGGAGGAGATTCAGCAGCAACATGGTCAGCCGGTGAGGAGACATTTCCATTATTTACTCTGAAAACGGTTGAGTCAGTTCTGACGTTGAAATCTTTTACTGAAAGAGAAAACGCCAAACCTTACCAAGTGTCTTATTACGCTTGGAATAAAACTAAACTAACTTAAAAATAATTTGGAACAAAAAGTTACTTCTGAGTTGGTTTTGTCCTGATTCCACTGTAGTAAGATATTTGTACTAGAAACTAAACCAATAAAAAACTTTGTAGGAGTTTGTGTTTTTCTGGTGCAGATTAAATTCTGGTATGGAAATGTTTTGGTTTTCTGAAATGAAGCCAGAGACGTTTTACTGAAAAAACACAACATCTTAAGTATTGTCTTCTAATTTCTAGTACAAATGTCTTGAAATAAGACTAAACAAACTTAGAGAACTTTTCAGCAACATATAGGAGCTTGTTTTAAACCAGCAACTCCTTAGTATTAATAAAAAGCAGTAGGCAAATTATTTCACTCATAAAATGAGTAAAATGTCTTATATTGCTGGTGGAACTAGAACTGGGTTGCTAGGTAACCGGCTGGGCTTGGCTGTGGTTGCTAGGTAACGGCACAAAGCCTGTCACATAAAATGATCTGCCAGTGGAACTAGAACTTTTTAATCAATATTAAGAAATTACTGACTTAAAACAAGCTCCAATTTCTAGCTGAAAAGTTACTTTCAAGTTAGTTTTGTCTTATTTCAAGATATTTGCTCTAGAAACTTGATCAAAGATACTGTTGTTGTTGTTTTTTATAGAGTTAAAATGAGATGGAAAGTTTCCCAGACTTGGAAAAACAGCCTAACCATTCCAGCTTTTAGCAGTTCCAAAGTTAACTAAGAAATCTTTTAAAAAGCTGTTTTTAATGTTGGAAACCACAGAAGAGATCAACCTGGAGACGAGATGAGAAGTTTCTCCAAAACATTGAATAGAGAAAAGAAGGTTGTAAGACTTTAAAAGAAAGATTAAGGAGAAAAATCAGATGGAAAGTCCAGACTAACAAAGGAATGTAAAATGGGCGTAGAGGGACAAATTGAAAGCTGGTGTTGTGAAGCTGCCAGGACTGATGGGAACTGTAAACAGTTATGATTTGTGAATCAATTTAATGCGCCAAAACTGTTACTCAATACCATTTATACATAAAAATACATTCTCAGTCGTCAGCCTGTTTGAAAGTATTCACTTTTTCCACATTTTAAGTTAAAATCTTAACCTTTTTCTGCAAAACTACACATTTTGACCATATAGAAATAAAGTTTGAGTGCTTTCTAAATTTATTAGAAATAGAAAATCAAAATAATCTCATTTACATAATTTCACATGATTTAATGCTTTAGTTATGTTGGAGGTTTGATGTTTCAATGTGGTTTCAACTTTGTTGTCAGAGTGGAACATCCTGCTGCAGGTTACCAGAAGATCTTTGAGACGGTGGAGGAACTAAATGAACCGATTTCTGCAGAAATAACTGGTAAAAACACAAAAACAGATGGGAGATTTAGTTATTGACAACTATAAACATAAAAACAAACTTTACTAACTTAAACTATTCAACAAGCTGTTAAAATGGACTTTATGCATCACTGGCAACTTGTATTTTTGCCACTTTTGCAGAAATGTCCATTGCTAAAAAGTCTAGAAAGATGGTTTTATATTAAAATCGGTTTTATCTGATGATCTGTATTATACTATAGATATGTCAAAATGCATTTTGACTATCCAGAATAGTAAGTTAAGATCTCTACATCTAGATTCCGACTGGTAAGAATAATAATTCATGATATCTTCAATTACATTTATCTCAAATATTTTTCTTTTCTTTTTTTGATCATTTATGAAAATTTAAAAATGCAACCTAAATCTGTGACATTTTGACTAAACAGAAAGCTAACTCAAAGTAATGTCACTGTTAATTTAAAATATCTGAAATAGAAAGTGGTCTAATTAAAGATATTTCTAAAATATTTGAAGATATCTTTGACTCGTTAAAATTATTCTTCCAGGTTTATCTAATTTAGTTTTCACTAGTCAATTGTTGCTTTCAAGATATCTGCAGTTTAATTTTTACTTGTGAAATATATCTAGTACTGTCTAAAAATACATTTAAAATATCTTGAATCAGAATTATAACCATTCAGAACAAAAGTCGGATATCTTTAATTTACTTTAATTGTTATTTGAAATCTGTTTCAGATATTCAGTGATTTATTAGGTGTCTTGAATTAAATCTCACAAATTAAAAGTGAATCTGACGTCATTTATGGCAGTCAGAATGTAATTAGCTAAATCTTAATTTACTAATATGTCTAGTCATAAACCACTTTTAGATATCTGGAATGTAATCGATTTTATGTTGAATCGACTTGCCATATAAACATTCAATCCAACAGGAGGAAGTATGGAAGCTCAGAAGAGTCGATATGAGGGCATTAAATGATGGAGGAACGTGTGTTATGTTATAATCAGATGATTTTGATGAACTGTCCCCCCAGGTGTTTTCCCGTCATGGCTCAGAGGAAGCGTCCTCCGGATGGGTCCGGGTCTTTTCGAGATCGGGGACAAACCGTTCCACCATTTGTTTGACGGACAAGCTCTGATCCACAAGTTTGACCTGAAGGGTGATCAGGTGACATACTTCAGAAAGTAAGAATGCACCGCAAATTTAAAAATGTTCAGCTGCTGCCTGTACATAAGCACACATACACTGCATGTCAGGGTCGCTCCGGGAGAAAATTCCTGCCAAAAAACTCAGTAATTCTGTAGAAAAACTTGGAAATTTCGGAGTTTCAAAAGTCAAAAATTTGCAAGAAAAAACATTTGAAATTAATTGTTTCTGGAACAATAAGCAGATTTCTGAGTTTCAGAAATTATTTTTGACATTTAAGCTCAGAAATGTCCAAGATTTGCTAGAAAATTCTAGCAATTCTTTTAATTTCACAACTAAGAAACATTCTTGTTTTTTCTCCAGAAAATTTCTGAGATTAACATTTTTTTCTTGCAAATTTTTGACTTTTTGAGTTCATACATTTCCATGTTCATTTCTAGAAAATTTCTGAGATTAATCTAAAATTTTGAGTTTTTTCTTGCAAGTTTTTTGAAACTGAGAAAATGTCCATGTTTTGTCTAGAAAATTTCTCACATCATTCTTAAAGTTTGAGAATTGTTTTGTTGAACATGTGCCATTTTTATCTTTAATGGCCCTGATAATCTTTGTTTCAGGTTCATCAGGACGGATGCATATGTTCGGGCCATGACAGAAAACCGGGTCGTCATCACAGAGTTCGGCACCGCTGCCTATCCAGACCCCTGCAAAAACATTTTCTCCAGGTAAAACTGAAGTTAATGTTTACCTGGCTGTTAACACAAACAATCCATTTAATTAATAGCAGCCTAGCACAACGTAGGTCTAAAGTCAGGTTTAAATCAGTTTTTTGTTGCTTGTGTCTGTTCAGGTTCTTTACGTACTTCAGAGGCATTGAAGTGACAGATAACTGCTTAGTAAACGTTTATCCGATCGGCGAGGATTTTTACGCCGTCACAGAGACAAACTTCATCACCAAAGTGGATCCAGATTCACTGGAGACACTGAAGAAGGTAAGAAGGTTGGAATTTACCAGAAATCATTCAGTTCAATTCACAAATACTTTATTTACTCCAAAGGAAAATTTAATGTTGCAAATAATTTCATCCAAGTATCTTCAAAGAGTAGTGGATGGAGATGCTGGAGGCAGGAAAGATCTCCAGTAGCAGTCAGTCTTGCAACGAGTCTGAAGATGTCTCTGACTGAAGACCATATGATGAATATTTAGTTTGCTAACAAAATAGTTATGTTCCTAGCTAAATACTTAGCTGGGAAATTAGTTAGCTGGGAACCTAATAATATGAAATTTGCTAACTAAACATTTAGCTATGAAGCTCAATATTTAGCCAGCTTCATAGCAAGATAAATACTTAGCTCGGACCGAAATATTCATCTTGTTTGCTAGCTAAATATTTATCTTCTTAACTAAATATTTAATTTTAAGTTGAATATTTATTTTGCTTGCCAAATATTTAGCTACATAGCTAAACATTTAGCTAGCTTGATTGCAAGATAAATATTTAGNTTCCTAACTTAATTATTTAATATTTAATTTGCAGATTAAAGTATTTAGTTTGGAACTACATTTAAAAATGTGTGAAAAACATGGTAAAAATATAATTTAGAAAATTGAACCCCTANTTTTTCCCCTATGACAGATTAAAGAAACTAAAATATTGCTGTTAATTTTTTACAGCGGTCTTTCCAAGCGCCATCTCATAAATTTGAGGAAACTGATATCAGGTGATTTCTGTGTGATTTCTTTATAATTTGTTTCTCAGGTGGATCTGTGTAAATATCTGTCCATTAACGGAGTCACAGCGCATCCCCACGTTGACGCAGACGGTTCGCTCTACAACATCGGGAACTGCTTTGGCAAAAACATGAGTCTGGCGTACAACATCGTCAAGATCCCGCCGGCACAGAAAGGTGGGAAACGCCGTCAGCAGGAAACGCAGAGACAAATGTGAAATACGTGTTGCAGGCCTCTTTGTCAAATCAAAAAGTTATGGTCTGTCGGTCAATCTGTCAAAAAGAGCACATTCTTTTCCAACAGAAAAAGTAGACTGTTTGGTAGATAAAATAAAAAATGAAATGAAGCAAAATAAGTATCAGTAAAATCATTTTTTTGTCCTTAGATAAATCAGATCCCATTGAGAAATCCCAAGTTGTGGTCCAACTACCCAGCAGTGAAAGATTAAAGCCTTCCTACATCCACAGGTTCACATTTATACTCTAGAAAATTTGTTTTTTATTTGACTTTTCATCAGTTTAGTCCATTTAAATCAGTCTGTTTTGATCTGTTTTGCTCTCCGTAGTTTTGGTATGACTGAGAACTACTTTGTGTTTGTGGAGCAGCCGGTGAAGATCAACCTGCTCAAGTTTCTGTCGTCTTGGAGCGTCAGAGGAGCGACGTACATGGACTGCTTTGAATCCAACGAAAACATGGGGGTAACAACGGCTTCAGGGGCGGCCATAGAGTTTTACCTGTAGGGGGCCATGCGGGGGCACAAACAGAACAATGACGGTGTACTAAAATTTTAATATTTTAGTGAAACAATTTCTTTACCCAAACAAAACACGGGGATCTGTTTGGCATGTGAAAACTATGCATCAGATTTGTTTGTTACAGTACAACAATGTAATATGGGCCAAAATAGAAAAATTAGGTGTAAATTTCCTCCAAAACATTTTTAGATTAATCCCAGAAATTGCCTGGAAACAACACAGAAATTTCTGAGCTTAAATATGTGAAGATTTAGCATGAACAGCTCAAAAACTTTGAGATTCTTCTCAGAAATTTTCTAGAAAAAAATAGGAAATTTATCAGTTTCAAAAATGGAAAATCTTCAACTTTTTAAACTTTAAAAGTGGAAAATTTTTCAAATGTTCAAAATCAAAAACTTCCAAGATTTTTATTTTTTTTTTTCAGAAAATTTCTGATATTTTTTTGTACTTCTCTTTTTTTTCTATCTACAATGACCCTAATACTAATAACAGAAATATGGAAAAGGATTAGCCCCACTAGAAAAAAAAAAAGAATTTTGACTTTAATCTTCTGAGATCAAAAGTCAGAGCTATGGAAAAAATTCAAAATGAGTTTTTTTTTCCTGTGGCCCTAATCGTCTTCCATACATAAATGACGAGGTGTATAAAATGCTTATTTATATCTGATCTGACATGAACAAACTGATCAGCAGCTCTGACTGGGACGTCCAATCAGATTTTAAGCGGTGCTGGTGGCCCCCCCAGCCACCCCTGTAGCTACGCCCCTGCTCTACAACATAAAATATCAAAACGTTGATTTTTTTCCGGTCCTTTGAATCATTTAGTGTTTATTTGCTGCAGACGTGGTTCCACTTGACGACTAAGGATCCTGCAGGTTATATGACAAACCACAAATTCAGAACCTCGGCTTTCAACCTGTTTCACCACATCAACGCCTACGAAGACCAGGGATTCATCGTGGTCGACCTCTGCACGTGGAAAGGGTGATTGAGAAGCTCCGGATATCTCTATTTGTTGATAGAAACACTGATATTTTATTCGTATTTCCAGGCATGATTTTGTGTACAACTACCTGTACCTGGCAAACCTGAGGCAGGAGTGGGAGGAGGTAAAGAAAGCGGCGATGCGTGCGCCTCAGCCGGAGGTCAGGCGATACGTTCTGCCGTTGGATATTCACAGGGTGAGAACAGAAACGATCACTTTATGCTGCCTATCCTAATCTCATTTTATCCTGTTAAAAACACCTTTACCATTTAATCATAAAACACAAATCATAACACATAGTTATGCTAATGCTAAGCACTATTTAGCAGAGGCTAATGCTAAAATGCTAACTTCAGTTGAAATTACATTTTACATTAACCATATATTCATTAATGCCCTTAAATATTGTATTTATGGGTTAATATATTGTTCACTATTATCCTTGTTTTATTTTGTTCACGTTGTTTGAAATTGTTATTTTTAGCTTAGCTGTGAAACTATGAAGACGTTTAGCGCACTTAGCGCTAAACGTTTTTAGCGCTAAGTAATTTTAATTACTTTTTCTGCATTCGTTCAGGAAGAACAAGGCCGAAACCTTGTGTCTCTGTCCTACACAACAGCAACTGCCGTCCTCCACAGCGACGGATCCATCTGGCTGGAGCCTGAAGTTCTGTTCTCTGGACCGAGACAGGGTGAACACACACACACGCACGCCTTTCGGTTCTGTTTTTACAGTGTTGCTAAGATGAAATCATGTTTTACAGAGAAATGTTTTGGGCTGAAGCCACTGCTTTGCTTAACAGTTCTACTGTAAAATTAAAACCCCAAGAAATCAACATTTCACTATATTTGCATTGATTAATTTAATTTGACAGGGACCGATACAAATGCATAGATCAAAACAACCTAACGTGTGAATAGCCAAAGCTAATTCACTCGTCCCTAGAAGGAACTTTAACAGTTTATTAAAATGAAAAGTTAAAATCAGTGATGAATACAATAAAATTATGAAAAAGAGATATAAAAAAAAACACTGAATCAAAACTATTATAATATTTGGATAGTTTTAAAATTCTAATCAATTTAAAGGTGAAGAAATATGATTTTTTTTTTTAGGGAAGCTGACATTTATTTTGCACTTGGGAAGAAATGTGTTAGTATTTTAAAGGAGACCTGTTTTGCAAATGTCACATTTTTGCACATATTCATTCTTCCTTTTAGGTTTTTACAGCTTCTAAAAGCAGCCTGAATACCAATAAGTTAATACTTTTTGGTGTTTGAAAATGAGCCGTGTCAAAAACCTTTCAAATGTAAAATCACATTTCACTGGCACTGCGCTGTTACCTAGCAACCCTAGCAGAGTTCCGGCCATTACCTAGCAACCTCAGCAGAGTTCCTGCTGTTACCTAGCAACCCCAGCAGAGTTCCTGCTGTTACCTAGCAACCCCAGCAGAGTTCCAGTACATTTGGTCTGCTGGTTTCACCATTGTATGCTCTGTACAATGGCTGCTGGAAAAGAAAAAGTGTTTTGTTGTTGACTTCCCATCCAGAAACCACTTGATGCTTTTCAAAAATGTATAGTTGAATAATAGAGTATCTGTTTGCAGCCATTTTCACATGCAAATGTAAACACTGAGTTGGGGGCGTGGCCAGCAACAGCTTATTGGAATTTAAAGTGACAAGACGCCCTAAAACAAAGTACAATCTTACATAAGAATGATTTTGTGTTTTGTTGTTTGTTTCTTTTTTATGTCCCTTTTGTCTTTTTCAGCCTTCGAGTTTCCACAGATTAACTACTCCAAGTGTTGTGGAAAGAAATACTCATTTGCATATGGCCTCGGACTCAACCACTTCATCCCTGACAGGGTAGGGGACAGAGAGAGCGAGGTCACCTCACACATACACACAGATTTGTTACCTGCTGTTGGTTTCTGCCTCAGATCGTCAAGCTTAATGTCCAGACCAAAGAGACATGGGTGTGGCAGGAGGAAGACTGTTACCCATCAGAGCCGCTGTTTGTTCCCACACCTGGAGCCACGAAGGAAGACGAAGGTAAGAAAGTTTAAATTCATGACATTTTTTATGTAAATTTGCATTAAAGGTGCCAATTTTCACTATATAATGAAAAGTTGACACTTTTAATGAACTTTTAATGGCATTGTTAATGCAACACTGATTTAAAGTTCACATTTTGTTAACCATTAATACAAAGTTGACACTTTTAATGCTCTTGTAATGACATTTTTAGTCCAACTTTGCTTTAAAAGTGTCATTATTTACTATTATTTCAGCCTGTATCAGTTGGCTGCGCTGAGCATTGGCGCCATCTACTGGATGGCAGCCAAACTACAACAGTAAAATGATTTCTGGGCAAACGCTATTAGTTAATCGATTGGAACTAATTTTAATCTAATAAACTATCCTCTATTCGGTATATTAATCCTCTGTCTGACTTCTGCAGGCGTGTTGCTGAGTGTGGTGGTGAAGCCGGGCGCAGAGAGACCAGGTTTCCTGCTGGTTCTGGACGCCATGATGCTAACGGAGCTAGCTAGGGCCGAAGTCAACGCCGTCATCCCCGTCACTTTACACGGGACGTACAAACCGCCTTCACCCTAAACACACCAGTTAATCCCCGTTTTATAGTTATTGATAATAATACATTCAGAACAGTTTGTAAATCAAATACCACTCTCGTTACAGCTAAGGTTTCAATGATGACATAGATTTAAAGCAGAGCAGATCAGGACTTAGATGTCATCAGTTTATTGTTTCATGTAATCAAAATCAAAGAAAATCTATTGGCTTTGGACATTAAAAGGCTCAATTTGAAGCTTGTTATTTTTAGTTTTTAGATCACTTTTAGGTTTGTAGTCAGTGATAGGCACACATCCTCTAATCTGCTAACAGCAGAGCTAATTTTTCTTTTTTATTTAAAGATTTACAAACAAGGCAGTAATACAAATACAAATAAGTATTAGAAAACAAATGAAAAATTAAAAGCATAAGCGCAGAATGGAAAGTAAATAAATAAAAACATTGAAAATTGGATAATTTCTGGCTTCTGAAATGCTAAATTATGTTCTATGATCTTGATATGTCTCTTAGCATTAGGGTTCACTATTACTTTAATGAATTTTACATAACATAGAAACTCATTGAGAAAAACACAAAACTTGGGAGACATTTTCTTACATTTGGATTTGTGTATATGATTATAAATTAGTTTTTCATTTTGCATTTTGATAACTTTGAAAAATTTATCACTTTTATTTTCCCCTAAATGAATTTTTCCAGATAAATTATCATCACTTATGTACTTGGCTGTTTTATAAACCTTCAGTTGAATAAAATTTTACATCTGTGTTGAAGATTTGGTTATCAATTAATACTGGAGGTAAAAATTAGCTCCATTATTAGCGGATTAACTCAGCATCGTCATGCTACCTGTACAGCTGTTGCTGCCTCAGTTAATTAGACTCGCCATGTTCCTGTGCTTTTATTTCCTGTGTTTTTCAATCATACATTAAAATGATTTTAGTTTAATTTTTATGTTACTGAATCCACATCTGCTTTATTCTCCATGCCTCCTCCATATATTGGAGTTTACTTTTCCTTCATTGTTTGATCAAAAAAAAAAAGCATGTTGGTATATTTCAGAGCAATTTCTGCTCAAAGCACTTAACATTTCAGTGTAATACATTTTATAAAATGGATACAAATTGTTGATGTGTCTCGACTGTAAAATGTCAAATAAACAGTCTGTTTAAAACTGAAAAGTGTGGTGTGTTTGTGTTGTTTGTTGAGTTTTTAACTGAAGTTTAAATTTTATGGATATTTATATTTTTGGAATTGAGAAATTTTCCATGTTTTTTTCTTGAAAATTTCTCTGATTAATCTTAAAATTTCAGAAGATTTTCTCACAAATTTTGGACTTTTGAAACTCAGAACTTTTTTCCTAGAAGATTTCTGAGATTATTCTCAAATTTTCAACTTTTGGAGTTCTGAAATTTTCCTCAAAATGTCTGAGTATTTTGGCTGAAATGTACTCCTTTTTCCTGTTCTTCCTAATATGCCATTGTAGTCATGTGATAAATGTTGCAGAGCAGCGTAATAACTATAAACAAACACCAGTTTAGCAGCCAGTCATTTTATGTTATACAAACAAGCATAATTACAACATGTTTAGACATTTCTAATTACAGAATGATGCAGGTTGCAGGTTAAAAGCTTGTGGGGTTTTTAGACACAAAGTACTTCAAAATACAGTTTAGAGGGATAAACAATTAAGGCCTTTTGGATTTGTAAAGATCAAGATGAATCTACAGGCTCTAAACTGCAGATTCACATTAGAGCAAATTTATGTTATGCTGCACACAGAAGAAAAAAGGGATTTTAAAAATATAAAAATGACATTCAGCATCCCTGAAGTTTTTTCTGCAGAATCTGCTGAAGTGAAATAACGTCTGCTGCATTAACATGGGAGCCATGATGACCCTTAAAAACAGGATCCAGATCTCAGAAAAGCAGGAGTTTTGGTAAGGCTTCTACATCCGCAGCAGCACAGACTGCTTTTTCTCTGTAGACAGCTGGTGGCGCTGTTGTTTGATAATATCCAGAGCGTCTCTGAGAACCTGCGAAGGAAAAGAAAATCAGACTTCTCCCACTTCCTCCTCGATTAATTTATATGAAAATAATTCAGCATTTTTACCTTCCTGGTTTCCTGAGGCAGAATGACTCCGTCGTCCCACATCCTGCCAGAGGAAAAGAACGCCGAACTTTCCTCCTCCAGCTTCTCGTTCAGCTTCTTCTCCTCTTCCTGTTTGGTGTCGGCAGGTAGCAGTGAGTCGGCGTGACCCGGCGCCGCCAGCGACACTCTGGCGTTGGGCCACAGGAACAGGAAGTTGGGATCAAACGCCCGTCCACACTGAGGACCAATGGGAGAGAAGACGATGAGCTTCATTGTTTTGTTATCAATTGGTATTTATCATCAGAGCAGACAGAAATCACATGTGAGGTACCACAAGATGCAATCCTGGGACCCTTTCTATTTAATATAAATTTTTAAACTGAAAAACAATTTTTATACTGTAAAAAAAATTTTAAAGTGAAAAATTATTTTTAAAATGGAAAATAAAAGAACTGAAACTGCAAAATAGATTTTTTTTACTGACAAGAAACTGAAAATGAAAAATTATTTTTAATCTGGAAACTTGAAAATTTGAAATTGCGAAACAATTTTTATACTGGAAAAAAAATTTAAAGTAAAAAAAAGAGATTTTTGAATCTTTTTCAATTTTAAAATATTTTTGAAACCCTTTATGGCATCAATTTAGCTCTATAGAATTAACTAATTCCATGCTCTTATTTAAACAAATAATTTTATATTGAAAAAAGAAAACTTTGAAATTAAAAAACTAAAAAACTTTAAACTGAACAATTTTATACAGAAAAATATTTGAAAGTGGAAAAAGCCTTGAATCTGAAAAGTAGTTTATAATCATTTTCAAATTACTTTAATTTTACTTCAGTTTTCAAATTGTATTTTCAGTTAAATTTATATTTATATTTTTTAAAACAAACTATATGGCAGCTATTTAGCTCAATATAATTAAGTAATTTCATGTTCTAAATCACTCAAGATACAAACATTAAGACACAGAAAGACGAAGGAAAACCAGTTTGGTTGCTCACCATGGCATAACTGTCGCCGCCATGGCAACCACCAATCACCACGGTGATTTTTGGGACAGAGGCACAGGCCACTGCTGACATCATCGAACCCTGAGCCTTCAGACGGTTGCTGTTCGTTTCTGCCTGTCAGAAAAGGACAGAAGAATCACTAATGTACGTCACTTTGCCGATTTTTAATCGCTTGTTTGTGTAAGTTTCGTTGTCATGGAGATAACGTTACTGGGCTGTTTCTACCTGTGCGGCAGAAAGCGTTAGCGCTGCTGCAGGCGCCGTGTTCTGGAGGAAAAGCAGCGGTACGTCTCTCTGGTCACACAGCTGGACGAAATGACTTCCTTTCAGCGCCGCTTCGTATGTTAGCGCTCCGTTATTGGCTACTATTCCTACCAGGTGGCTAAAAACATAAAAAAGAACATACAAAATCAGACTTAATATAAAAATTAAATAAGATATGACGAAAGAATATTGTTTGTTATGGATGAAAATAGCAGAAGATATGATTAAAACAATTATACGGTCAAAATGAGAAGTTTAATACAGTTTAGATAAATAACAAATCTATATAACATTGTATCTGTGGTGGCAATAAATTGAAAGTACACAATAAAGTGTTTAAATTTATGATGGCATATTAGGGTAAATGTAGATATTAAAATATGGAGGAGGATATTTCTGCCAAAAAATCTCTCTCTGAGATTTTGAGATTCATCTAAAAAGGTTTTTGTTTTGTTTTTTTCCCAAAAAATCCCCAAAGAAATATGTTAATTTGAAATGTAAAAAATTGGCTAGAAAAAACTGAAATTTTGAGATTTCAGGAAAGTTTTCTAAGAAACTGAGTTTTCTGAGTGGAATATTTTTACTTGAGACTCAAATGTAAAAACTGTCTAATTATTTTTAATTATTCCTTTACTGTTAAAAAGTTTTCTGAATGTTTGTGATCAAATATAAAGGCTTCAAAAATAAAAGATTAATTTATTTTAGAGATGCAACTATCAATGAATTATTGTGGCAATTAATCGAATAAAAACAAAATGGCCACAATCTGCAGATTTTTTTATTTAACCACATTATCACTTATTATAACTTGGGAAAATGTCTGGTTATTATAAGGAACTAGTGGTTTTACACCAATATTAAGTAATTACTTACTTAAAAGAAGCTCCTGTTTCTTGCTGAAAAGTTACTTCTAAGTTAATTTTGTCTTATTTCAAGTGTAATAAGATTTTAATTAGAAACTAGACCAAACATACTCAGTAAGAATTTTCGTTATTGCAATGTATTACATATGAATATAGTAGTGTTTGTTTGTTATTTTTACCCATGAATCTTTGCAAAACCAGTTACGAGTGTGGTTCCGTATCGACCTTTGAACTCCTGGAAGCGGCTCCCGTCTGTCAGTCGGCTCACAATCTGAGCGGGAAACAAAAATGCAACTTAGTTTTTGGGCATTCTACTAACCTCTTTATTTTATAAAAATGCAAGTTTAGGGAAAAAATTTGTGTTTATTCAGTCAATATTTAATACAGCAGCTTTTTTAAAATTCAGCATATTATGAAAAACACAGTCCTTTATGTCATGGAAAGACAGTCAACCCTCTTGATACAAGAGAAAACTCAGGTTTTTAAGAAAATGGCAGCTTATCAGTTAATCAATAAGATCAATCAGTAATCTATAAGCAGTGCGTTACCATCTTCACATCCAGCGTGTGGCTGTAGCTCCGAGGAGCCAGACCCAGAAGCTCCTCTGGACTGTGCAGCGGCTGCTCTGCTGCTTTCCTCTTCGCCGTGTCCTCCTCCTCCTCCTCCTCCTCAGGCAGGTGGAGGTTCAGGGTGGAGATGATGTTTCTCGTGTGATCAAACGCCTCCTTCTCCTCCAACGCAAAGTGGTCCACACACCCACTCACCCTAAAACGAAGCAGCAATCAGAGACAGAGTCTCACTCACTTCTGTAGCTGCGTTTCCATTACAAATGTCTTTGTCTATATTTTATTCAAAAAAAGAAATTTTGCAATTGTGGTGTTTCCATTAAATAAGAAATTAAATTAAAATTACATGTGAATAAGCTTGTTCACGCGATGAGTCGTTGAAAATCATGGCTCTGAGGGACGTAAATAGATGAAATATATCCATAATTCAGCCGTCAGATGAGACGTCTGCGTTTTATTCAGCCGTTGGAGCCGATACATTTACACCATTTTGGTGATTTTACAGAAGAGCTGCGACAAAGTTTTATGAACTGTGCGATGCTGAAAGCTGCACAATATCCAAATAAATAATCATCCTCCTACCACTTCCTGTCGTCTTCTTCTGCGTTTCCAGCAGTAGTAAGATACGGCTGTTGATCACATGTGATGCAAAAAAAGTAGCTGTGTTTCCATTAATGTGCTTAATGGAAATGTGCCAATTTAGAGAAAAATTCACGTTTTTTGATCAAAAGCGCTAAGATGAGTCGCATAGAAATGGATGTATTTCACAAAACTGCAATGGCAACTGTTCGCATCACACAAGTCATGTGATCAACAACCGGATGTTACTACTGGTGGAAATGCTGAAGAAGACAACGACAGGAAGTCGTCTTCTTTTGGTTTGTAGTTTGTTTTGGACAATGTGCGGATCAGAAAAGTTGTCATTCTAAAGTGTTGAACTCATCGTTCTTCTGTAAAATTACCGAGAACATTTTCCCCAAAACGCTGCATACGTAGCCGATCCTCAGTAGGCGGGGCTTGTCACTCCAACGCCTGAATAAGACATTAACGTCTGCTCCGATTGGCTGAAATATGAAAATATTTCACATAACTGTTTATATTTGTTGCTGTCGTGATTTTTAATGACTTATCACATAACAAGCTTATTCATTTTAATTTTAATTTCATTCGACATTTAATGGAAACTCAGCAATTCTGAAATTGTGTTTTTTTGGTATCAGGAGAATATAGACAAAGATTTGTTCACATTTGTAATAGAAACGCAGCTAGTGGTTCCATTGCAGTTTTGTGAAATATATCCATTTACAAAAACCTCGTTTTGTTTTTTTCTAAATTGACATGCTGTTTATAAGCAAATTTATTTTCGTAATTCCAGTTTGGAGCGGCTCTGAAGTTCGGCCCTTACTCGGCGTGGAGTCGGGCCCCTCCCAGGTCCTCCGGGGTCACCTCCTCTCCTGTAGCGGCTTTGACGAGCGGCGGGCCTCCCAGGAAGATGGTTCCTATCTGGTGCACCATCACCGCCTCCTCTGCCATGGTGGGGATGTAAGCCCCCCCCGCAGTGCACGAGCCGCACACCAGCGCCACCTTCCGACCCGTAACGGCGTTTAAATCGACCAAAAAGATGCACAAAAAGCCCTGAAATACTTCATGCAAAGTGCTTCACATGATGAAGACACAAAAACATCAAATAATCACCAGTTATAAACGCAGTAACATAACATTTTATCAATGTGGTGAACCTGTTTGTAAGTTCTTTTATTTATTTCACGTTGGCTGTTATACTGACTGAACAAATTAAAGTTGTTTTGTTTTTACATGTTTGATCATTTATGTCTGTGTTTTAAAAATAGAAACATTTTAACCCCTTTAGTTCTGAATTTTACCAACACAAAAACTGATTTATGCAACTAATTTTAATTCCCATTCGGCATTGAAATAAAGGAATTTTTTTTTTTTAACCAAAAAATTCACAAAAGTCTGTTTATACTCATAAACATTGAAATAAACGATTAGATACTTTTTTTTTACTCTGCATAGTAACACTAAATAATTAAGCAGTGGCTGATATTTTCCTGTTGTCCTTTTGGATGGAAGTTCAACTCTGAAAGAAGTCCTACAATCTAAAATCAAAATAACTTCAAATATTGTCACTTGAAATACTTAAATTTACACTCAAGGCAACTTTTAGGCTACTATGAACTTGAATTTATATTTCTGATGGAAAGTAAACACCAACTCTTCTTTTTTAGTTTTAAAAATTGTCTGATGTGGAGATTAAGAACCTGAATGTCATCGATCAATAAGAAACTAGTTAATAAAAATAATCACTCAAATGATAAAATTCCTACTTTTTCATTTGTTTAAACCCAGAAATGCATCAGTGGACTTTGGGTCAATTCAGCTGTTTTTCTGTATCGGCTGATGCTAAACCTCAGATATCGGTATCGGAGTGGAAAAGTGGATCGGATCGTTTGTATTTTTTTACCTGTGGGATCTTCATGGCAGACATGATGGCTTCGTTATAGAAAGTCCTTCCTCCGTGGTTCTTGTCAGGAAAAATCTCTGACTGGATATTTATTAAATACAGAAAGGTGTTAGGAGCCAACATGGCGGTTGGTGTGATCCACCTGAATGTGATCAGCTGAACCTGTAACGGTAGGAAAGCTCCTCCAGAGTCCACCAGGTAGACACAAGGCAGCCGGTTCTGGATGGCGACTTCCTGAGCTCTCAGCTGCTTCTTCACCGTGATCGGATACGCTGTGCCGCCTTTCACTGTGGCGTCGTTAGCAATGAACACACACCACAGGCCGTTGATCCTGCCAATGCCTGCACACACACACACACGCACAAGGTCATTCAGCTGGAAGTGTGTGAGAGGAACAACAGCTGCGTTTCCATTACAAATGTACACAAAACTTGGTTGATATTCCTGCATTAAATAAGAAACACAATGAAAATCACATGATAAATCTTAAAAAAAAAAAAACATGTCGCCCGTCATCCTGTAACTACTTCCTGTTGTCATTCTGTCGTTTGCACCAGCAGAGCTACTTTTACTTCAGTATAATTTTTGGGTGTTTGTTTCAAAGAATGCCAGACTGTATTGTTTTCAAAACTATGTTTGCTGTGAAGTCTAATAAACACACAAATTTTATTAAAAAACAAAAAACGCAAAAAAAAAAAAGTCACCTCATCCAAGTGGCAAAACTTTTTATCAGGAAAGAGAAGTTTTGTTCGAAATTGCAGTTTCCATTAAGCAGATTTACCTTCGTATTGTAAAACGCAGTAAATGTCGCCAGGTTTTATTTAAATCAGCCACGGAGTTCACCAACACGCCGACTCTTCTTCATCGTCTCGTCTTTCGTCTAGCACCACCTCTGGTCAGGATTGGTAATGTCTCTACATTCCTAACTGCTTTGTGTGTCGTAAGCGACGTCAAATTGTGCGATTTTATTGTGAATGGAAACGCAGCTTCAGTCAGACTGGGCTGGATATTCAGGTTAAAGTACCAAAGACACAGCTAGGGGTTTCTGACCAGTCAGGCAGCCGGCTGAAGGGATGTCGCCGTACGGCAGACCCATCCCAGCGAACGGGGAAAGCTCCAGGAAGTCGTCATCGTCCAACAGGAAGCGGAGGCGGTCCCTGACCAGCAGCTTCCTGTTTCTCTGTGTGTGTCTGATTACAGCGTTTTCCCCTCCGCCTCGCCTCACCTTCTCCTGTAACTCTGTGTACCTAACAGAGGAAAACAGACATTTAAACAAACTTCAGTCCTGAAAACCAAGATTATTATAGTTAACTAAATAACAAAATAATGAAAACGGACATTCAGAAAACATTTTCGTAAATAAAAACGGTAATTAATGGGGAAAACTATGACTAACTGGAACTATGTTGTTTGTTTATAGAACTAACAAAAACATACTGAAATTACAAACATAATACCCTTTGATTTATTAATCCATTTATTAGCCATTTGAACCGATGTGAAATTGATATTTTTCCTCCACACAAATGGTTTCTGCCAACTGTCGGCAAATTACAGCGCTAACGCTAGCAAACGTTGGAACACCAGTCAGCTGGTTGTTCAACAATAATTTAATAAAAACATGCCTTTTGTTGAATATTCATTACTCAATTTAATTCTGTACCTAAAAATGAACCAAAGCATGAAAAACTAAAACTACTACTATAATAAAAACTAAACAATATCTAACTAATGAAAATGACCAAACACTCTAATTAAAACTAGCTAAATTAGACAAACCAAAAGGTCACAACGAAATAAAACTGAACTGTAATGAAAAACCCAAAACTATCATAACCCTACTAGAAAGTCTGGTTTGTTTGTGGTGAAGGGGAATCGACCCTGATTTGGACCAAAAAACAAAACTGGTCGGCCTACAGCCATAGATCTTGGTGCTCCTGATGGTGAGCAGTGCAGGACATTCTGGGTAAATACAACCAAAACAAAAAAGCTAGCCTAGCGTTGGCGGGAGAAATTACTCGTGATTTTTCCTAAAGACAAAAGAGAAATCCTGAAATCTGACGCTATTCCATTTTTGTTTTCATTTCGTGCAGAAGGAAGTCATGCTCAGTGTATCTTCAGAGGTTTTCTGTAATTTCCTTCCGTGGTTTTTGGTGCAGCGCCTCCACAGGCGAGGAGAGGAACAGATTGCTCGAAGGGTTTGGTTGGTTTGAATGAGAACCACAACAACTGAAAATGGGACAAATGTTGCGATTTTCATTTTCATCAGAATGCATCAGATTATCAGGTGGTGGTGAATGTTGCTTTGTTTCAGCTCATCCTGTTTCCATTCCTCAGTCAAATGGTGACGCTGTAGACACTCATTGTTTTTGATTCCACAACTGTCCAGCCTAATCTCCATGAAGTGAACAGAAGGTGATGCAACTGTGTGTGACGTAACAAATGTTTGTGCTGCTGCATAAGTTCGGTAACTCCTGTAAATAAATGAGGAATTTGGCATTTTTCATGCACTGTGATGTGTGAGCTGAACCTACTTGTTTTGGCAGGCGCGGCTGTTTCTCAGGTTTGCCTCGTAGACGTGGCGCTGGATGGGCAGCAGGGGGAGCTCCAGCACCGGGAAAGAACTGCGCAGAGCTTTCCGCTTCGCCGCCACAGAGCGAACAGAGAACGGCCGGCGCTGCTCAGCAAACCTGCAAAACACAAAACGAGAGCAAACGCACTAATACGGACCAAATACCTCAAAATCAATGCAACGTTTTAGAGCTGAAATGATTCATTGGATTAATCAATTATTGACATAATTATCAACTAGTTGATTAATCGTTAACTGGAGTATACAGACTCAAAAAAGGCCATTTGCTGAAAGAACAACACACTCAGAGCAGTAATTAAGATAAAACTGTACAAAAAGAAATTACATTTTGCATTAAGATGGAAAAAAAAAAAAACTTGTCTGTATGCTCTACCCAGAACTCCTCAAATGATAGTTTTATTTTCACACAGTTTAAATTCTGTAAAAAAAAATAAAGAAAACTCCTCTTAGACACCTTTTGGTATCAATTATTACATAAACCAAAAAGTAAGTCAATCACTGTATTGATAAGTCAAATTGAAAGGGCTGAGTTTTTCACATAAGTATCTTTTTAGCTGTAAATACATCAAATACTACAAATGATCAGGCATTCACTAAATGAATGCTGTTGTTGCATGTTAGACGATAAAATGTTCATTAAATAATTTTATTCTAATATCCTCTTCATGAGTCTGCTTTATAACAGAGTGTCTTCAGTCAGAGGCTTTTTCACAGTCTCTGTAACACAGACTGCTACAGGAGAACCTTCCTCTCCGACAGCCATCAGCATTTATTTGAAAAAGAATTGTATAATATGAGTTGCAACAACATGTAATTTCCCTTTAGGATAAATACAGTATTTTTTTTATTTATTTAAATATGTTAACCTCTGAATGTAGTTGGTTGCGCTGGGGTATCTAAATCACTTTAAATGTGTAAAAAGTAAATAATAAAGACTATAATTTTCTTTCCATTTCAGTCATGTGCTACTTCGTGTTTAACAGTCGTAAGAAATAAATTAAAACTACCGGTAATTTGTGTTTGCATGAGGAGAAAACGCTGAAAAAGTTCCGAAGGTGTGAATACTTTTTGGAAGCATTGTAGCACACAAAACTGAAGAGTCAAACGCTACATTAAAAAACACCGATGAAAAATAAGAGATAAACACAGCCTTGGCTCTAATCTCTGAAAATGTTAAAGTGTGCCAAAGGTCGTCTGAACGCGCTGCGGATGTTAAATAAAAGCTTATTACAAACAAATAATCACTCCTCTCGTTACCTTAAGATGCAGCGCTGCATGTTTCACAGGTTTCCGCTGCAACGCGGCTAATCACAGCTTTAATAAACTAATTCTGACTCCAAGATCCATTGATCTAAACTACAGCCAGAGAGCCAGGAAACGCTTCTTCTCTCTTTGTTGACAGCAGTGATTCCTGGACGCACTCCACTGCCCCCTTTCGGAACAACTGTAATTACAAGCGGCACAAGGCAAAGATTTTTATTCGAAACTCCATTAAAGGTTTCATATTTCACTAAATTACAAGAAACTAATTGGTTGAGTGGTATTACAGTATAAATATGCTAAAAGCAAATAATTCACTAATTAAAATGATAGCGAGTTGTTTTTCATTTTAGCTCCAAATTAAGAAGCAAAACGTGAAACTGATTCAACAAATACGTAATTCCTTATAACTGATAGATTTGTGGTGAAATTGAATTTGAGCAGTTTTAAACCCAAGAACTAACTGTAAAAATTAATTTAAATGATCAAACTACTAACAAACTTTAAATAAATGTAATTTAGAAAGAGAAAAACTTCCCTTTTCTGCTAAAAAAAAAAATTAGAATGTTGGATATTGTTGTTTGCATAAATTAAACTTGGTCATGATTTACCTTTTTAAAACACATATCCAATATAATTCAACTGAAAAATAAATACATCTGTTTTACAAGTTTAAAAAAAAACTTTGGCAGTAATCTGTCTGGATGTCAGTATTGTTTTCTTGCAACATTACTCATAATCCAGAAAATAGATAACACAACAGTATGTTATTATGTACAGAAATTGTTGGAATATTTAGTAGCTCTCTCAGTGTTACAACAGTTTGTCTTTCTTTATAATATAAAATCCTTTCATTTGAAAACAGACTTCGGTCACATTGCAGCTGTAATTATACAAAGCGGCCACTAGAGGGAACCATACCATTATTTTGAAATAATCTGACCACATGGCGTCATATACTGATTTGATTATGTGAATAATGCCTTGTAGCAAACTTTATGCTCCAGTTTCACAAAAAATGCGAAATATAAAGGAAAAATACTGCATTTCAGGAAATCCAAAGTAAGTAACAATAATACAGTGACATATAACAGGGCTGGATTTAATAAATTGTGGTGCCCTGGGCAAGAGATTTGGTGCCCAACTCACAGGTTTGATTAAAAAAGAGTTTGTAATTTCTTAAAATTTCTATAGATAAAGCATATCATCATTTCTAAATAATGAACAACAACTAAAAGACTGAAAAAGATTGCAATTGTTTGTATAAATATGTCAGTTCTGAGTACAATGAAAGCTGAAATATAAGTGAAATTAGTGACTAAATCTTGCTACAGTTGACAGGATTTTGAAAGTTATCTACACAAAAAAAAACTAATTTGAACCCCTTAGTTCAAACCTTTTTTGTTTTTTGACTCTGACTGAATAAATAAATCACATTTTTCAATTTGTACATCTTTTTTTTTGGAAGAAATTATATAATATTGTAAGCTCCAACAACAGCAAAAACAACAACAAAAAAACAGACAAACAATTTTTATGCTTTATTTGTTTAATTTAGCTAATTTTTATTTCATTTTAATTTTTTTATCCACGTACTTGAGAATGGAGATATTTGCTGGGGTTTGTTTTGTTTTGCTTATTTTTGCTTTTTGTTTTGTCATTTACTGCTTTGTGTTTGTTATCCTAAATACTGTTTCATGTCATTGCTTGAATTTCTCTGTCTGCTTTGTAATTTTTGTGTGAAAAATTTGAAATACTTATTTACTTAAAACAAATACTTAAAAAACTAACACTAATTGATTCTTAATAAACATGTTTATTTAATTGTAAAATTTTAAATAAATCACATTTTAAAAAAACTAAGATCAAATGATTCTTAACTAAGCAAGTTTATGTAATTGTTTTTCATGCATTTGTTTTTGTATTTTTCTGTTTATAAAACTGAACTGATTTGCAATTTTTAGAATCACAGACAATATATATGTATATATTAAAATGTATTATAATAATTAAGTTTTATGTGGCTTATGGTCCTGGGCCCTGCTGTGGGGCGGCCCTGCTGGTTCAGTGGGAGGAGGAGAGTCAGTCAGTCAGGAGGAGGACGGGAGTCCCAGCGGCAGTTCGGGAGAGCCAAGACGGGGGGAAAAGTGCGTCCAAACCGGGAGAAGTCACACGGAGGTATCCGCCATGAGTTGGGGAACGGAGCTCTGGGTGAGTTTTCAACTCTTTAAGAAGCTGTTTCCCGGCTCGGCTGTTCACGTGTGAGACTCCGGCATCGTGGCCGGGACTTTTTATTTTATTTTATTTAAATTTTTTCTTTCGGGACGTCGAGTGGAAGAAAGGTGCCGCGGTTCATGTCCAGCTTTGTGTGGAAGGCAGCGCTGTTAGCCGGCGATGCTAACGCTAAAGCTAATCCACCTTAACGGCTGTGACAGCGGCGCGGAACAATAGGCAGCCCGGTCCTCGCGCACGGGGTCCGGGGCACCGGGCCGGAAGCGGGGGGGCTCTGCCTCCCCTGTTCGGTGGCTGGTTAACTTAAATTACACCCGCGTTCCTTAGTGCTATTGTTCATATGTGTGTGAGAGAAGTTTAGTTGTATTTTTTACGGTGTTTTTGTGTCACACCCATCCTCCTCAGGCTCCTTTTAAAATTAACCTCAATTAAGCTCCTTCTTCTTCTTCGTCTCTTTGTCTTCACTTCAGCGTCACATGACTGAACTTATGTGTCAAAAACAGCAATGGTTTGTTTTAATACACCATTTTATGTTCTGTACAGTTAAATCATGACTTCCAGTGAGGAAGTCATGATGGACTCTCAGCTCTCGGTCTCAATTGGAAGTGCTGTTGCGTAATGTTAGTATTTGTCCAGAGTTCATTATTATTTGTGGTGTATATTTTTGGGGTGTTGGCCCATCCCGATGTGTGAAACCAGAGAGGCAACCAGCAGCATCCCCCCTCTCTTAGATGAGGAGGAGCAGGATGAGGAGGAGGGGATACTTGTTGTCCCAGAGATGATTCTCCTCCATCTGATCGCTGTGTTTATTATCTGGCGTCTGAAATAAGCTCATTTTTTGCTTGCTCAGCCCCCACATGTAACATGACCATGCTGCGGCGGACAAAGAGATAAAAGTTTGCTTGTATGAAATTCAAAAGCGGTGTGAAAGGAGTTTGGTTTGTTGTGGGGTTCATTTTTCTCCCCATTCATGTTTTAACCAATCTAGCCCAGTGTTATGGAATAATTTCTGTATTCTTTTTAAAGTCTTCCTAAAATGGGAAATTGGTCACGATAACAAATTTTGCTGAATGATAAAATTGTCCCAGAAATGATAATATTGATCATTTTCAAGTAATATAATGGTAATAATGCAATAACTTATTGCCAAAGATCAATAAATGTTAAATTCTAGTCAACATTGAACACTGGAACTGAAAGACATCTTAAATATCCAAAATAAATAGACAAAACAGTAAATAAAATTAATTATGAAGTCTCTGGAAACTACATTGTACCTCAAAAGAAGGACAATTGTGACACTAATAAACCAAACTGAAGATTTGTATCATCCAGTTTTTGGTAGAAAGAGAAAAAAAGCAATAAATAACGCAAACAGAAATTATTAAGTTGCTTCCTACAGTTTTTTGTCCACATTTTGTCCCTTACCTTGCTGTTATTTTAAATTAATAGGAAGTAGGACCACAAATAATCAACGACTAAAATAAAGACTTGGCCTCATCCATTCATTAAAGTCGGCAAAATACAGCATTTGTTTTAAAGCTGGAGTCACTTCCTAATTAAATGTAGAGAATGTGTGAAAATAAACAACATTTTTGGGAAAAAAATTGGGAAAATGCTTGCTTTTCTATTAAAAGTATTGCAAATTTAAAAGTAAAACTTTATAGAAATACCCAAATGTTTGTATTTTTAATTTGACAAAGAGGTGCTTTGAATTGGTAAATTTGGCCCAAATGACCGAAAGTCGTACTGGATCGTTTGCTTAGGTAAAAACATTGGCTATAGTTGGAGTTTTCTCCAAGGTCTGGTATACACCCTGGGTTGTGTAAGCGTTGTTGCAATTTAACCATATAAATAATAAATAGCTAAATATAATAAAACATCTTGCAGTTTCCTTGATGAAGGAAGTCATTTTTGAAATGGGTGGCAGTCTAATCCACATTTACGCATCAGTTCAGTCAATGTGCATCAGAGGAAATGCGCTCAGCATGTGGACGAATTTAATAGAGGCAGTTTTTTGTTTTGACGTATAGCAGCAAATGGAAAAATAATTTCAGATTTTCAAAATTCGACCAGCAGATGATGGATCCCGTCCAGGGAAAACTAGGCGGAGGATTGGTGCTTCAACCAAACAATTTACTTTAAGCTTCACATTCAATGTAAATGTGTTTGTTTAGCAAAGAAAACATAATAAAAATTTATAATTTTAGATCTGAAATCAAAAGACACGATTGAATATGTTTGTGTTCTTGAAAAAGTTCGAGGTGCTGAATGGATGAAGGATTAATTAATTATTTTTTATATATTTTTTCTCTTTTTTTGCCTTTTATTAATTGATTTTCTTCATGGTTGTAATTTAATTTAGCTCAGAAAACCAAATATTCTACTTTAGGCTGGGAAACATCATCTTCTGCATCCAGAGGTATTTAACTTTAAACTTAACTCTCTTTAATTCACCATAATTACATTTCGTCTTCTTTGCTTTACAGGATAAGCAGAATTAAATTCAAGTCACTCCAGTTAATCCCAACACAATACAATACAATATGTAGCCTGATTCAGATCCAATTCAACACAATATTAATTGTTTTTATAATTAACCTCAGTCATATAGTACCAGTTGGTAGAAACCCATTAGGTGGAGCTCAGTATGCGTCAAGCCACTGATTTTTCAGCAGCATGTTGCTTTAATAGAACAAGACTTTAAGCATTGCTTGTTCGCTGTGTGTGATGTCAATGAAACATCCGTCCAAATAGCGATATGTAATAATCAAATATTAGTAATTTATTGCTGCATTGTGTCTTTTCCTCCAGCTTTGGAGCAAAGCAACCTGCATCTCACCCAGCTATGGTGGAAATGTAATCCCCGAATCCTCTGATTGGATTAATGTGCTAGCTGTCTGTGGTCAGATTAAGGATTAAATGTAAAAGATGTAAATCTGCTGATTGGCCAGTGAGATGCTCAGATGACTGCAGGCTGAATCTCATTTATTAAACCAGTTGATTTCAGATTCTGGTGTTAATTCTTACTAATAATGTGACTGGCTTTTTAGTCCTGCTGATCAATGTTAACCAACCCATAATGGAGCCACTTTGACTGTTCCAACATCATGATATGGTAAAAAAAATACCTAGAGATCTGAAATGCTACTGCTGAGATTTATAATTATCATATTGATTACAGTTAACCTACATTTTTCTAACTTTTGTTTCATTGCATTCTTTACATTTTTCTCAGTCACTAATATTTACGTCTGGTGTGGAGGCCAGGGGCGGTTAAAGACCATCCAGCTATCTAAAATACATAACACAGCTTCAGAGCACGCTTCACCTAATTCAGTTCAATTAACAAATACTTATTTATCCTAAAGGGAAAGTAAATGTTCTCGTAACTGATATCATGTCGTTGCAATGCTGTTGGCAGCAACACCATCAGATGTTGGTAAGCGCTGCTAATCCACTTTATTTGCTTTTGCTGCTCCCCTTTAAGTCTCTCTTGTTAGAGCGATGTTGGAGTAGGGGATAAGCTCTTTTCCCATTATGATTGATTGAAGGAGTTAGTTTGAACTTCCTCCTTCTTTCTCTGCTCTTTGGTCATTAGATGTTGTGATTAGGCCTGTCACAATAAGCAATAAATCAATTAAACAAGCTCAATAATTTCCATTTGCATTATTTGTTGTTTTTCTCTTGTCTGTCTTTCTACTAAAAACTGAATGATTAAAGTCTTCAGTCTGGTGTTTTGGCCTCAGCCAGCTTCTTTTTTTGAAGAGTGAGGCTTCATAATTCATTTATCTCAACAATTTATCGTCCAGTAGAATTAGTCTTTGTGGCCAGATTAGCGGTAGCATCTCTTGCTAAAGTCTGGGTGCTGTTTGGTTTTGTGCTTTGGCTCCTGCACATCCCTACAAACCAATTGAGGAACATCCTATTACTGTTCTGGCTTCCTGCCCCAACACACACACACACACACACACACACACACACACACACACACACACACACACACACACGTGTGTAGAGTAGGAAGTGTGCCTGAATCGGAGCTGTGTCTGTGTTTTGTGTGCGTTAGAGCCAGGATGCCGGCCTGCTGTGCGCAGGTCTGTCTGAGCGAGTCGGGCTTGAGCCCAGCAGGACGGAGCGGTCAGAACCGGCTGAAGGACAACGGGCTGACAGGCGGTCGTCCATGTTGGCCGGCCAACCTGAAAGACAAGGATAAGGGGATGGAGACTTAGACGGTGGTGTGGAAAGGTCAATCTCTACATGGTTTTAGGATTTGACAGTGAAAGCTGTGAAATGAAAAGGATCGACCGACTCAGATCAGCGGTTCGGAGGCTGACGGTGTGGATTTGGAGTTCCTGAAAGTGTCCAGTGTTTCTCCTGCTTCAGTCGGGAGCATTGTTTGCATTCTCTGCCACACATTCAGACTTGCACAAAGGTGCTTGTTATTCGTGCTCCTGTTTGTGATATTTATAGCTTGCAGACTCCACGTCTGGATGCAGACAGCAGTCTAGGATCTCTGGGGCTCCTGGGCTGCTTTGACTACCCTCCACAAATTACCACAAAAATACCAACAAACAAAATTATTCTGAAATGTAACTGTTGGAGAACACGAGTTTAGTTAAAAAATGATTTTTCACATATTTCAAGTTATAGCCACAAATTTCAGTGGTTTATATGAGGGGGGTCCAAAGTGTGGCTCGGGGGCCATTTGTCGCCATTGGAATAGTTTTGTGTAATTAAGATGAGATTTCTTCTTAGACCAATGCCAGACCAATGCCAGACCAATACCAGACCAATACCAGACCAATACCAGACCAATACCAGACCAATACCAGGCCAATGCCAGGCCAATGCCAGACCAATGCCAGACCAATGCCAGACCAATGCCAGACCAATGCCAGACCAATACCAGACCAATGCCAGACCAGTATGTTCAGAATATGACTACTACCTCATCATGTAGTTATTTTTTTTGTGCA